TCCTTCTTATCTGCTTCTTCTTCTTCTCTCCATCTTTTTCTTCTTCTCTCCATCTTCTTCTTCTTCTTCTTCTTCTTCTTCTTCTTCTTCCCCATCTTTTCTCCATCCTCTTCTTCCTCATCTCCATCTTCTCTCCACCACCCACCTCCGGTGCGACGACCATGGCGGGCAATCGAGTGCCATTCGAGCYTGAGACCRGTGCAGATAGAGAAAGGACGCTCAGCCAATCGGAGCTGTGGAAATGGGCGGACAGAGGCCAGAAGGTGACGACCGGGACATCACAGAGCTCGTGGAGGTTGCGTTGCAGGCTCTGCAACAAGGAGTTCGTCGGCACGCTGTCCAAAGTCGTGAAACACCACACACAACCGTCGGTCACTGCCCGCTGTCCACGTACCACCGGTGAAATCCTTGCTGTCATTCGCAGCGACCACCCGAAAGTGGCATTGCTCACTGCGTCGCTGGCGAAATTGAACGACTACTACAAGGAACAGGGTCGTCCGCCAGTTGTTGTGGATGCGCAGGATCTTGCTCCCGTTGATGTGGCTTGTGCGTCGGGGGAGGTCGGTACGTCGTCGACTGGGGCAGACGGAGGGCGGGACACGGGTTTGACGGTGGGAGAAGGCAGCGCTGTAGGTTTTGATTCGGCATCGGTTGTTGACAGGGGCGCTCGGGGTTCCAGGGGGCCCGACATCCCGGAAGAGATCGCTGAGCACCTGCGGAGTCCTGTTTTGGCTGCAGCTCGCCCACCACGACCTCCATCGAGTGCACAACAGTCGTCCATGAAGAACTTCGTAGTGGATGAGCCGCAGAGCGAGTTCGACCAGGCGGTTGCTTCCTTCTTCTTTGAGAATGCCATCGCCTTCAACGCCGCGCGCTCGGACTCGTATAAGAACATGGAAAGGATCATGAACTCGGCGGCGAGATCGAGGAAGATGCTGCGGATGCCTGGATACAATCACCTGAGGACGAAGGCTTTGCCGGCGGAATACAAAGACGTGGACAAGGATCTTGACAAGATCCGCGATTCATGGGATGTCACTGGCCTGACCTTGATGACGGACGGCACGACAACGACCAGCAACAGGCCGACGATTCGGGGGCTGTTATGGTGCGTAGTGTGGACATGGAGGGGAAGGACAAGTCGGCTCCCGCTTTGGCAAGGATGTGGGTGGAGGTGATACGATAGTTGGGGGTGCACAGGGTGAACGCGATCTGCACGGACTCGGCACAGGTCAACATTTCCGCGAAGAAGATATTGGAAAACCATGACGACCCTGCGATGAGGAGCATTCCATGGGTGCCGTGCGCATGCCACGTGTGCAACCTTCTCATGTGTGACATTGCTTCGGTGCCATGGATCAGAGAGGTTATTCTGCAAGGCAGGGAGATCACAACCTTCGTCAAGAGACACCAGCGGGCGTTGGCAATGTTCCGTAAGAGCGGGAGAGAGTACAGGACCCAGTTGGGCATCAAAGATGGGAGGCCGTTGGAGTTGATTCAGCCAGGAGAGACTAGATTCGGCACAAACTTCCTCATGCTGCAGCGACTTCGAGAGTGTGAGCCGGTGTTGCTATCAACTGTTTCAAACCCGAGGTGGGATGACTCTCCATGGGACAAGGCAGCAGCGACCAGGGCGCGGACGTGCAAGGAGCTGATAAGAGACCCGGCTTGGTGGTCGACCGTCGACCGGGCATGCACCATGCTTGAGCCAGTGTATGCCCTTATGAGGAACATGGACAGCGACGGGAGGATGGGAATGCAGGTGTGGTCTTTAGGGATCACGTTGGAGAAGAGAATGGCCGCGATACCGATGGACAGCGAGACAAGGGGCATCGTGGTGAAGAAAGTGAAAGACCGCGTGCGAATGATGGCTCTACCTGTGCATGCGGCGGCGTGGATGTTGCACCCGCTGCACAGATCGCCTCGACTCTTCGACGACATGGCGTCCGAAGAGATTGCGAACACTCTGGCTCACTTCGCTTCGGTTCATCTGAAGGGCTCGAAGGAGTACAAAGAGTGCTGGATCTCCCTCAGGAGTTTTCATCACATGGCTCCAGAGTGGATTGGCCCCAACTCCGAGGAGGCTTTGACGGGCGGTCACGTGAACATGGCGCAATGGTGGTTGACGTACGGGAAAAGGCACCCAACCCTGATGAAGATCGCCGTCAAAGTGTTGAGCATGTGGACCACTGCCTCTCCATGTGAGAGGAATTGGTCCACGTTCGATCTTGTCCACACCAAGAGGAGGAATCTCTTGAGCCCGGAGAATTTGGAGATGTTGGTGTTCATCCACTGGAACAGGAAGTTATTGCGCATGTCGAAGGCGAAGACGGGGTTTGTGAACACCGAGCGGCTGGAGTGGGAGACACCCGAGGACGAGGCACCATTCGATGGCTTCATGCGAGAAGGGGAGTACGACCCCGCGGAGGTGCGTAGGAGGGCGGCCAACTGGTCGAAATCTCGTGGCCGCAGATCGAGAACCACGCTATTCGACGTGCGGGAGATTCAGGAGGAGAGGGATGACGACGGGGCATGGTTACTTGATGTTTCGTACCGCCCTCGCAGAGTCGCTGTCCATGAGCGTGGGAAGGTTGTCGTGGATGATTACGACGAGGAGGACGAAGGCGGCGACAGCGACGGCGACGCGGAGTTGCTCGACGTGCCTCTAACGGACAAGCGGTTCACTCGGAGGTCGGGCGTTGGGTCATCCTCCACGATGGATGTCGCCATCACACCACTCGGAGGTCGAGCGTTGGGTCTTCTTCTATGTCATTGGCCGACGACACCGTTCGCCTTGCACGGCCACGCACCTCCGCGTTCGGTGCTGTGTCATCGGTTCAGGGCACCAGCACACCCGCCGACGCGCAGCACACCCCTCTCCCACGAGCCGCGGTGGAGGAGACGGCCACACACCGGGGGATGACAGGCGGGGGATCCAGGGATGCTGATGTTGGCAGCGCAGCTGCGAGGGTCGTTCAAGACTTTGGTGTGTCTGTGGACGCTCCCGTTCCCGGTCATGCGGAACACGAGGACGAGCTTCATGACGCAGCGAACGACAGCCAGTCTGCCGGCGACAATGCTTTCTCCACTCCCTACCCTGGGTTGCCGCTGGGGGAGAGTTTCGCCTCCCTGTTGCACCACGTTGCACCAATTGCTGCAAGAGGCTCGAAGACGGAATTCAAGAAACATCTGGCTGCCATGTCCCCCATGAGGAGTGATTCCGGGGGGCAGACTCCCGATTGGGCCAGATTCACAGGACCGACTCCTCCCGCTTTGCTGTTGAGTGAGGACATCCGCACGAACGCGGACGGGTCGCGGGTCATGGTGGACAGGACAACGACCGAAGTGGACGAGGATGGAGGACCCGACCGCCCGCATGCTGCAGCCACACAACATGAGGCGGAGTCACCGCCCGAAATTGACGCCAGCAAGGTGCGTCAAGTCCGGAGTTTGGCAGGSAGAAAGAAAGGAGGGAAGAACAAGCCAAAGGTGCCATCTGGACCGGTCACACGCGGGGGACGAGGCGGGGCAMGCAAGACARTCACACCGYCGACGTCCTTGCAAGAAAAACGTGCGGTTGTTCGGCAGGCGAAGAAGAGGAAGGCAGAGAAAGTTTCAAAGAAGGTCGCTGCAGCCTCCCGGTCGCCGAGAAGAGATTCGAAGAGGAGGAGGAAGTGCGTGCAAGAGGACGACAACTCCGAAAGCAGCAGCGCGTCATCGTCATCGTCGAGTGACATGTCATCGTCGAGCGACGCGTCATCGTCAAGTGCCGCATCATCGTCGAGTGACGCGTCGTCGTCGCCTGCCACGAGCAGCAGCAGCGAATGAGAGAGAGAGAGAGAGAGAGAGAGAGAGAGAGAGAGAGAGAGAGAG